TATGGGCCAGTCCCATGATTATATTCGGAATCAACATGGTCGATAACCTATAACCCACTAGATGTCGATCAAAAAGCTTTTAATCACCTCGAAAGGTTCCCTCGTAAGTTTCAATTTTTCACCACAAAGGAAGTGCTTCTTAAACTGGAGCTTAGAACACGAAATGCAGCAGACTCTGCCATTTTTTGAATAACTCGAGAATGAAAAGGGATAGCGATTACCGGTTTTCACCACATAATCGCCAAGACTTTCTAGAATTTTTGCTCATAATCGCTACATACATACACGTATTTTTGTCACTTTTTGGGGAGAATAGTTGGGGAGGGATTTCGTTAGTATTTCGTCTCGGGATTCAATGTTCTAGAGTACCGTGTAATATTTTTAATGTATGCGTCTGCGTCGACCCTTAGTTCTTCAGGTTCGTATCCCCACATATATTTCAAAATGATGTTCCTAGACTGAGTTATGAATTTTTTTTAGAAAGAACTTCATATTTCAAAAGTGAGCCTCGATCGTGAAAGAGCTGTCTTTCAGTAATTATTAGGAGCCAGCAAAGAAAATTTATAGTGTACATCGAGGAGAGTCAGAATTACATTTTAGTAAAAAGAAAAAGTTTTCATCTCTCTTAAATCAAGAGTTAATAGCATTTTACGGAAAAAAATGAAACGCTTATATATCATAAACCATCCAGTAAAAGAGGCTTAAACTTGCTGGGCGATCAACATTCAGTGAGTGTTATATCTACACAAAATTAGAAGTCCTTAGTTATCATGGTTCTTGAGGGGGAGGATATTTTTGAAGAGTACTGTAAAAAAGCCATCGGTGACCTACATCACCGCCAATATGTTAAGAGACACAAAATCCCTATAAAAAAGTTTTTTTTATAGATATGACATCGAATTTAAACGGAACTTTCATAACGTATGGCTTATTGCTTGAATATTCTTTAGTAAAAATATCAGCTCTAATGTTGAATGAAGCAGGAGTTATTAAGATGCAAGGGTCAAATAGGGACTGTTCGTAAGATGTAGAGGAGGAGACACAGAAATTGGAAAAGTTTTAAATGAATTTAAACGCTTTAATCTGTAAAATAATCAAAAAGTTTTAGGAAACTTCATCATGCACGCACTTCAAGTTGAACGTAAAAACAAAAAGTGCTTATGTTATGCTTTAGTACACCATTTTTTTACACTCGAAGTTTACGAAATGATATTTAACTTAAACTTAAACTAAGTGCATTCTACTGAAAAGTTTTTCTGCGCGAATTCGTTATCTCTGTACGGACCTACGCTTTTTAGGACCACTATCATACTAAAAGTGTACTACAAGCCACTTAACCTCTGATATGTATAATTTCAGAAAATATATCTACAGATCCAAAATTTGACGAAATCAAGCATATTTTATCATATGGACGGCATATAATATTTATTTGTAATGAACTTTGATTCAATTAGTTTTGAGGATGATCCATATACGTTTCAGTCTATTAATACACAAAGCCGAATACTGTTTAGTAGATCATTCAGAATATTAGTAGTGGATAGAAACTATATCAACTACTCATCCTATATACTCTTTTTAAGGATTGATAGGACAAGTGAGAGCAAAGTGGGTTCTCAATTTGAAAAATGAATTTCCCACTTGCTGTTCATTCTAAGGAAAAAACTGCCACTTTGTATCTCATTTTACTTTTGAAAATTTCCACTTTGTTTTTGTTGAACTCAACTCTTAGTAAATATGTAACAACAGTTAAATCATGTAAATAGCAGTAGTTTTCCTTAGCATATATATGTTGTGGAGAAAGTACAGAATTAGATTCTAGAAGAACAGATTCTGTAGATTCACCAGTGATTTTACAGATTCCCTAATTAGTACTGAGAAAGTATAGAATGGGGTTTTGAGACTCGCTAGGGAATGAATTTTCAAATACTATATTTCTGACTAGTTTTTCCCCCCAGGAAAACGACAAATCTTTTAAATATGATCATTTTTTGCTCTTTTCACAACATTTTGCACTCATGATGTAGTTTTTGAATAGGTTTATCCATTAAGTGCGGAGTGGCGACAACTTCCACAATTTTTCTTGAAAATTCCAGAATTAGTCTAACCACCACTCACTCTCACGCTGCAGCGTCCTCTCTCCCTACTTACATACTAGTAGAAGTAGGTCCAATTGTCGTTCAATCAGAATCTAGCAGAATTCCAGTAAAATTAAGCAGATTCTGTTCGCATTCCAACTAGAGTTGCAATTCTACCAGGATGTGAGTAAGACATGGCATGTCATTTATGAAAGTTTCAACAGTTCTAGTATAAAACTAACGATTTTGGAAGCCATTATATTGTGAGCCTATCAGAGAGCTGATCTATCGAAATCTATCGAAAACAGAAATTAAATGAGTTGTAAAGATGAAACTTTGTATGAAAATTACAGATATATAGAAGAGCCATAGAAAGAAATTAGAGCTCCTAACGACTTTTCTGGACGGAGATATGAATTTTTCTATTTTTCGCTGGGAAAAACAGAAAAATGCCTATAACTTTTGAAAGAAAAGCCATTGGCCCGAATCCTTTTTAATTTTTTACAACCTCGATATCCTCTATCGATCGACACATGAACGAATGAATCAAATCGGAGCTATACGCCTCCATAGATTTCCTCGTCAGCAGATATTTCCTCTTTCATAAAAAAATCAAGCTTTCAGTCTTTTATACTCTATTTTATCTTAATGTGGGTAAACAGAGCTGATTGTATTTATGGAACTGAAAGTGCGAAAACTGCGGCTGTGAGACAGTAAAAAGACCTTCCGACTTTATCTATCTTGGGTTTCAGAATAAAGTAGAAAGACCCACTTTGATATTTAAAGCAATTGGAAAGCCTCATTCTGGAAAAATTGTCATTAAAAACACTGATCCTATCTTATCCGTACGGACTCACCGTTGCCACAATCTCAGCATAACACAAAAACCAATGGGTTTTTCTAAAAGTTTTCCGAGATTTACTTTTTTCTTCAGTAAAATCAGTCCTTAGAAATAAGTTTATAATTTTCTACGGAGAGTTTGATTTATTGATAAAAACAAAATAAACATAAGATTCCTCCGCATTGCCTTCTCATGTTGGTGAGCTCAGATTAATAATAAACAAAAACAAAATTATATTGTTTATTTCAGCTGTAGTAAACTAAAAACTGTTGAAACTTGTATCAACGAAAACAGTAAATGTCGGAAACTATTGGAAAAAAAACATCGATGTTTTTGTTATACTGGGACTCTGACAAAGGCGAGTCTGTACGCATGCAGTATCGAGTATCCCAGATAAAACGGGACACTTTTGTTCCTTGTTTTGGGAGCACTGTCAATCGGTCCCAAAGAGTTCGTTCTAAGCTTAATCGATAGAGAATTGAATTTTCTACAAAACCTGCTATTTTAATCTCTGATAACATTTTTCTCGTTTGAGCCCATTCAAAATACTGAAGGGTGCTGAGTTGTCGAACTGCAACACGATGAAAATAGAAAAGTATTTGCCTTAATCTAAAAACAGATTCTATACAAATTTTGAAAACATCAGAAGATTCTGCATCTTCTCACATATTTTTCAAAATTTTGCAGTTAAGTTTTCTAAGAATATTTCTCTGATAGATCTAAAAAAAACCTAACTTTTAAACCTATTTTTCAAAGACTTTTCTGGCTACAAAAGCAGTTAAAGTTAAGCAATTAAATTTACATAGATGTATAAACAAAGTTTCTCAATTGAAATCATTAATTAAAAAAGTTAATTTAATTTGAAAAAATTGAAAAGCCGGTTAAGAACTAATTATGAGTCCAGCTGAGGTAGCGGAAACATTGTATGAAGATGTAAATGAGTGAGACCGATAGGCCGCAAAAGTCTCTCTCTCTCTTTCTCTTTCTAGAAAAATTAACTAATGAACCTCAGACAATGGGCTATCAGAGGTTGAAATAGCAGGTTTTGTAGAGAATTCAATTCTCTATCGATTGAGCTTAGAACAAACCCTTTGAATTACTGGGTAGTATCTCAAAAACAATGAACAAAAGTATTCCATTTTATCTGTGCTATACGATAGAACCTAGAGACGATTATTAGTTGATATAGTGTCTAATCGACCACTTATATTCTAAATAAATAGTAACTGATTCGGGTTGTGTATTAATAGACTAAAAAGTACGTATATCATCGTCGCGCTTTTCCGGAACAACATGGCTATGATAGATAATTTTTGGATTTGTTCGTTTTTTTTGACCTATCAGAGATTAACAGTGAACCTCTCCATTAATATGTAATATAATACCTACGAGACTAAGGAGTAACGAACAATATTAATACAATTGATTGGTGAGTAGTAAAATGGAAACAATACTTCAATCACGATGCTTATTGTCTGTAGAAGGCATTCAGCGCAATCTTCAAACGCAACTGATTTGTGAACTGTATGTAAATAAAGAATAACTACTATGTTTATCTTCAAAGTGTAATAGTTTACTTCAAGGATAGTTAGTCATATTATTTTACCAAATCTATCCAAAACTATACGGCAGTTCATATAGTGCAGTTGGTTCAATTAAAAATCCAAGAAATTAAAAAATAAGCTTTTGTTTTCCTCACTAAATATACTTTAACTCAAATCACCGGATCGAAAAATTTTAAAAGGTTGTTCGGTCAAAACCGATTGCAGATTCATCTTCTCCATGGTTGATTATGTGTTACGCAATAACTTTTAGATCGGGGTACTTTAGAAAAAACATTTCCGATCTTGATCTTGCTCAAAATGTTTTCAAAAAGTTGCTGTATGACATCAAAGACAAAACAATGTCGAAAATTTTTTCTAAAGTATCCCGATCCAGAAGTTATCGCGTACCACATAATCAACCATGGAGAAGACGAATCTGCAATCGGTTTTGACCGACGAAGCTTGATCCGGTAATATGTTTCAGCTTCAATCAGTATGTTTATCAGTTGTTCGGTATACCCTAATTTCTCTTTATCATTCTGATTGATCGTTGTTTTGTTCGACTTCATTTTCTTTTTCATCCAAGTTTTTGAATAGCAGTGCTTCATATTGACTGTATGGTGTTCCATTTCGATAGAGCATATCATGAAACCATACACGAGGCATCGAGGCATTCTCCGGTGATTTCCATTGATAATATGTTTGACTTTTACCTGCGACAAATCCCCAATGAATAGCACCCACTTTATTCTCTCGAAAATAGTTTAAATGTGTAAAAAATGTACTTCCGAATGGACGAGCCAAATACTCTGTGCATAAAATGGGTCGTTTCGATAGTCGACGAAATTCAGTAATATTTTTAGTAACTTCAGCTAGTGGTGCGTACGAATGAAATGTAATTATGTCTGATACAGACAGCTCATATTGACCGAGTTCGTTCGTCAAGGGTTTTGCAATTCCAATTGTTAGTGGTTGAGACGGATTTACTTTTAGAGCAGTGTTGTAAATATACTTTAGTAATGGTAGAACAACGGGTACTTGTTTACTACATTCAGGTTCATTGTATAGATCCCAGATGGCAATTCGATTATCGTCTTTGTAACGAGTTATGATGGCTGTTGTGTATCTAAAACAAACTTAGTAACAAAACCCTAGTGAATATTTAGATGACCTGATCACGGTTCCTTCCTTACAGGACATTAGAAATATAAAAAAAATTGTTTCCGTTTTTTTCTTTCGTATTTCTGATTAGTATTTTGATTTTTTGGAAGAGCAACATCCTATTTTTTCTTTGAACTCAATGTGAATCGATCGGATCTATTTCATGCACTTTTTCTCTACTCTTGCGCAGAGAAAGGTGATTTCTTTAGACTTTCTAACCTCTTGTTTCCTTTTTCTACATTATTTTCCACTAAAATTACTTGTGTAGCACATTCTCCTTCAGCTATACGACGTATTTAATCTTCATTTAAGAAGAATATTTATAAACCGGAACAAAACTGCCTAAAAGAACATGTAATCATCACATGAGTAAGCGAAAGATTGTTTGTCTGTTTCGAAAAAAATCAATAACCCAATGGAAACCTATCCCTAGCGAATGTACTTGAGACGAAGTACTTTTCTAAGTACTTGGCGGCTTGTCCAGCTAACGGTCCCCTTTTTTCGCTCATTTTCAAGAAGTTATTGCAATAAACCTACAAACTAATCTGAAATGGCAACTAGATAATTAAGTAGATTAAACATTTCTCTACAAAATGAAAGTGTCTTGGTTCTGAATGTTGATTCGTTATGAAAATACAGTTGTTGTACAAACAACCCAAAAATCGATCTGGGGGCTGTCTGAAAAACGTGTCTAAAAGAGTGAAGACGAGCAGGCGAAAATTGAACAAGTATACCAGTTTGTAAAAAATTGTTTGCTCTACAAAATGTGATAGGTTTTTAAGTTCGAAACTATTCTAATTAATCTGTATTAATCAAAGAAAAACCGTGACGCTGCGACACTTTTGACGGCTTTTTGTCACAGCGTCACGGTTTTTCTTTGATTAATACAGATTAATTAGAAT